ATGGTAGTGTGCCACCTCCGGGTCGGGGAGGAGGTCCTGCCCCATGTGGAGGAGTTTAAGGATCTTGGGTTCTTGTTCACGAATGTGGGAAGAATGGAGCGGGAGATCAACACATGGATTGGTGCTGCGTCTGCTGTGATGCTGGCATTGTACCGGTCTGTCGTGGTGAAGCAAGAGCTGGGCCAGAAGGCAAAGCTCTCAGTTTATCAGTCGGTCTGCGTTCCTACCCTCATCTACGGTCACGAACTTTGGGTAGTGACCGAAAGAACGAGACTGCGGATACAAGCGGCCAAAATAAGTTTCTTTTGCAGGGTGTCTGGGCTCTCCCTTAGAGATAGGGTGAGAAACTCAGTCATCCCGGAGGGACTCAGAGTAGAGCCGCTGCTCCTCCACGTCGAGAGGAGTCAATTGAGGTGGCTCGGGCATCTGGTTAGGGTGCCTCCTGGACGCCTGCCTGGTGAGGTGTTCTGTGCACGTCCCACTGAGAGGAGGCCCAGAGGAAGGCCCAGGACACACTGGAAGGACTATGTTTATCGGCTGGCCTGTGAACACCTTGAGATTCCCCCGGATGAGCTGGCCCAAGTAGCTGGGGAGAGGAAAATCTGGGTCTCTCTGTTTAGGCTGCTGCCCCCGCGACGTGATCCCAGATAAGCAGCAGAAAACAGACGGACGGATGATGATGGTGATGATGACTTGACTCCAGATTGTGTACAACCGGAGTCCCATTAACTTTTATTTTCTATGAACTGAGAGAGACTCACTTGGTGAAACAAGAGAAAAATGACATTTTGACAAACTATTCAAAAAGTGCAAACTTTGAGGCAATAAGAATAGTATGCAATTTTCTTTTCTTTCTGTGACCAATTTAAACTTTGATGGATGTTATACTGTGAAGTACGAGCTATAAGTTTTGAAGAGTACAGGATTTTCTCCCTCATTTCAACAAAATTATATTATTCCCTTTGGAGAAAGTCAAAACAAACCTTTAAAAAAATACAATAAAAAATGTTAAAAAAAATAAAGAATGGAACTCCAGTTGTTTTGTTTTTAATTCTTCACAGTCATAAGTTGTACTACTACAAGGTGAACTAAGTGAAATAGAAGCATAGCCATTGAACCTTAAAGAAAGTGCTTCGTTATTTATACGTTGGCACCTCTAACTAGATTTTTAAAAATAAATAAAACTCTCTGCAGGCTGGCAAAGGTTACTCTCAAAAGTTTGAGTGAAAGGTTTGGATGATTTTAGAGCAGCTCTTCACACCAAATGAAGTGAGTTGAGCAGATGCTTTCCTTTAGAGGTTTATCGGGCAGTCAGTGGACGGAGTCCTCCAGGGTTGTCCCAGGACTAAGTGAAGGGATTATATCATCCAGATGGTCTCAGGGCTGATGGGAAGCTCAGAGGAGAAGCTTGAAGAAGCTGCCTCCTAACTGCTGCAGAGATCTTCACATAGATGAACATTTTACATCATTAAATCTGGACAGATGTTTTATCCACCCACCATCTGATCAAACCACTTCCTGTCATTTATGTCTGTTTAGCTAGAAATCACAAGTAACTATCTCCTAAAATCACTTTTTATAAGTTTTTACAGCTGATTATATCTTCTTACCCTCACTGAAAATAAACTAATAAAACAATAAACAAGTATTGGTTTTTGCTTCTTTTCTTCCTCAGTAATATTCATATTTTCACGTCAATAATAATATTGCATTTTTCTTTGGTTTGACATTTTGAGCATCACACAGACACCCACAAACTGTGAGTATACAACAGTTTACTTTATCCTCTCAGTTCTACAGAAACTTCAGATTCTATAGTTTACAACTGTTGCTGTTCAAGAATCCAATACACACACACATGCACACAAACACACACACACATGTTGCTGGAGAGTGGCCTCAGCCAACACAAAGGCTTACAGGTCACTAATGTTAGGCACTGATAAGGGATAAAGACTCAGTAATAACATTACCAGAGGATCAAAGATAGACCAAGTGACCACAGAGCATCACCTTTTGGGAAGTCATTAAACAAGACAGCTTTGAAACATGTATGTAAACAAATATTATGAGATATATATAAAAAAAATTATCTCTGATATTTTAAAACAGCCGTCCATCAATTCTTTTTTAGTTTCTTCACGGTCGGGCGGTCGCTCTGAAGGATTTCCTGTCAGATCCCCAAACCATCAATCTCCCGCTGGATGCACCTCCCCTATGAAGGAAAGCTTATTACAG